GGTCTGTTGAACGGCATGCGGGCTCTGATCTGCTGATCTTTCATCACGCGTGGTGGACTCGGGCGTGATAATTGCCCGGTCATCTGGCCCTCTGGTACTGGTATAGGATGAGACGGTGGTCTGTCCGTTCCCCAAGCGACGACTTCCTTAGGCCAAACTGAGTCTCAGCCGTAAGCAACCATAAGGCTTGAGATAGTGAAACCAAAAGACCCATTGCCACGGCAAGAAAAATCTGGAGTCATCTACAGGACATGATGCATTTGCGGGCAAAGCAACTGTGTCGGAGAAACTGGCAGGCTTCTCAAGATGCGAATTGCCGAAGACGCGGCAGCAGTGCGGCGAAATGATGCCAATTCTCAAGTTGCGGCTCATTCAACGAGACAGCAGTGCGGCGAAACGATGCCAATTCTCAAGTTGCGCTCATTCGACGAGACCCGGCCTACACAATAAAATTTGATGAAGCCGAAATTCTCGCAAGAGGTGACAATCAGGTGAGCCGAGAATTACTTGAGCCGTGGCTCACGGGCCCCCAGTCCATCGACAAGTGCAACGATTTGCCCAATCCATATTTGGTGCTGTGACTCAATTTGGCCAAAGCAAGTCGCCGCTTGGGGAACGCACAGGCCACCGCTTCATCCTATACTAGTACCGGAGGGCCAGATGACCGATCAATCATCACGCCCGAGTCCACCACGTGTGATTAAAGGTCAGCAGGTCCGAGCTCGCATGCCGTTCAACAGACCACCAACACTCAAGAAGACAATTATGGTTAATTGTCCTGTATCCTATAAATATTGAAACCTCTTGTGTATGTGCTACCCTATCTGATATGGCTCTCTAACTATGCCTTTGATGACGAATGCTCGACGGATATCGAAACATCAGGCGAATAAAAGTATTGTCCCAGCGACTGAGTCATCTTCTCAGATTTTGGTATGTTTACTTATAGCGGACAAATGTTGATCATCATGTAAGCCAGCCTTTGCAGGCCTTTCATTTGATGGGGGTGCATATTTATTAGGTCAACAAACATCATTTTCATTTTCTTCTTGTACTTTTTCCCTTCAATGTCCGCCTAGGGTAGGGAGATTCTAAGCATGCCGAATTCACAATAGTTGGTTGAGGAAACACCTACTGGGCGATATTTTCGTCAACAATGCCTTACTGAATTGACACAGTTTTTGACTGTTTTGGAAAAATAACCGAAATTGCTGCGCTGCTCACTTTTTGCGCAATTATATTTACTGGGCGGATGTCTGCTATTATCTAAATATTCTCGACCCTACAACAAGTACAAGAAGCCTGATAGTTAAACGTGGCGCAGCGGTTCTTTTATGTTTGCGCAAGTATCGTTTAAACAGGACTTCCGGCGTCGGCACCAGCGGACGAATCATTTGTATTAACACGGGCGTATTGTGTCTGGTGCAGACCCCGGGTAAACCTTCGCACCTTAGCTGACGCTTTCGACCAAAGCTATAAAACTGAGCCGTCTGATGCCGCCTTGTGACAACAAAAACTTAGCGCACACGTTGAGGGCAACAGAATGAGGTCCTGGTGGATTCTTGCCATACTAGCAAGTGTGTCTTTTGCGCAACACGCATATGGTCATGACGAAATGACCGTGGAGACCTTCGACGATTGCATAATGTACTGTTCAAATGAATATGGAAAGTGCTTGAAGGCAACTGATGGTATGTGGAAGGACTACATGCATAACAGGAACAAAATTGCCCAAATTGTTCGCCGATGCTGTTTAAAAAATAAAAAGAACCCTAAGGCAAAAGAGGAGGACAGTTTTGCGGCATGTGTTAAGATCCGATGCGGCGCACATCTCTACGGGTAGGTTGCCGCGTTATCCCTACATGGTTTGACCTCACATTGTTGTACATCACCGTTAGAAAACCAACAAATAATTTCAACAATCCAAGTTCGGCAAAGTAGCTTATGTAGGCCCACTCATATACCCCTAGTCCCAGCATTTTGTCCTGGCAGTTATAGAGTATTTGGGGTGGGGAAAAAGGATAGGCAGAGAAGGAAATTTTTAGAAGTAAGTGTA